GACTACAGGCATGCAACACCACACCTGGCTGGTTTTTTTTTTTTTTTTTTTTTTTTTTGTATTTTTTGTAGAGACAAGGTTTTGCCATGTGGCCCAGGCTGGTCTCAAACTCCTGGGCTCAAGTGATCCTCCTGCCTCGAAATCACAAAGGGCTAGGTCTTTAGGCATGAGCCACCACACCTGGCCTCATGTTAAATTTTTAACGTTTGCAGCACATTAGTATTAGAAATGTGTTGGTACACTTGAAAGGATTTTTAAATAACAGCTTTATTTTATTTTTGAGATGGGGTCTCTCATTGTCACTCAGGCTGGAGTGCAGTGGTGTGATCATAGCCAACTGCAGCCTCAACCTCCTGGGCTCAAGTGATCCTCCCACCTCAAGCTCCAGACTAGATGAGAATACAGATGTGCACCACGTACCTGGCTTTTTTTTTTTTTTTTTTTAATGAGACAGGGTCTTGCTTTTTAAAAAAGGCTAGAGTGCAGTGGTGTGACCACAGCTCACTGCAGCCTCAGCCTCCCAGGTCCAAGTGATCCTTCTACCTCAGCCTCCCGAGTAGGGGGGACTATTAGATGTGCACCACCACACCTGACTAAATAATTGTATTTTCGTAGGGGTGGAGTCCCACTATATTGCCCAGGCTAGTCTTGAACTCTTGGGCTCAAGCAATCCATCCACCTTGGCCTCCCAGAGTGCTGAGATTATACATCCATAATCCCAGCACTCTGGGAGGCCACTTGGGAAGCCATTTGAGCTCCTGCCCCTGGCCTGGCTAATTTTTTTATTTTTCATAGACAGGGTCTCGCTTTGTTGCCCATGCTGGTCTTGAGCTCCTGGACTCAAACAGTCCTCCCGTCTTGGCCTCCCAAAGTGTTAGGATTACAGGCGTGAGCCATTATTTCTGGCCTATAACAACTTTATTGATATAAAGTTCATACACCATAAAATTTACCCTTTTAAAGTGTACAATTCTGCATACTCATAGAGTTGTATAACCATCACCATTAATTCCAGAATGTTTTCATAACTCCAAAAGAAACAGTGTACAGTTGTCCCTCAGTATATGTGGGAGATTGGTTACAGGACCCCCAAGTATACCCATATCCATGCAGAACCCTCATTGTGTGAAAAGTCAGCCCTCCGTCTATGTGAGTTTCTGATCCTGTGACTCCTGTATTTTCCATCTGCATTTGATTGGAAATAATCTTTTTTTCTTTCTTTCTTTCTTTTTTCTTTTTTTTTTTTTTTTTTGAGACAGAGTCTTGCTCTGTTGCCCAGGCTGGAGTTCAAGTGATTCTTTTGCTTTAGCCTTCCGAGTACAGGTGTGTGCCACCACCCCCGGGTTTTTTGTATTTTTAGTAGAGACAGGGTTTCACCATGTTGGCCAGGTGATGTTGATCTTCTGGCCCCATGTGATCTGCTGCCTCTGCTTCCCAAGTGTTGGGGATTACAGGTGTGAGCCACTGTGCCTAGCCTAATTTTTGTATTTTTGGTAGAGGCAGGGTTTCGCCATGTTGGCCAGGCTGGTCTCGAACTCTGGTTTCAAGTGATCCACCAACTTCAGCCTCCCAAAGTGCTGAGATTACAGGCATGAACCACTGTGCCCAGCCGGAAAAAAATCTTCATGTAAGTGGACTCATGCAGTTCAAGCCCACGTTGTTCATGGGTCAACTGTATGCATTAGCTGTACTCCCCATTTCTCCCTCCCTCCAGACTCTCGTAACCACAGAAAGAACTACTTTCTGTGTCTATGGACTTTTATAATCTTGGTATTTCATATAATTGGAATCATACTATATATGGACTTTTGTGCCTGGTGTCACTTAATGTGTTTTCATAATAAAAACTGTTTTTTTTTTTTTTTTTTTTGAGACGGAGTTTCGCTCTTGTTACCCAGGCTGGAGTACAATGGCGCAATCTCAGTTCACCGCAACCTCCGCCTCCTGGGTTCAGGCAATTCTCCTGCCTCAGCCTCCTGAGTAGCTGGGACTACAGGCACGCGCCACCATGCCCAGCTAATTTTTTGTATTTTTAGTAGAGACGGGGTTTCACCATGTTGACCAGGATGGTCTCGAACTCTTGACCTCGTGATCCACCCGCCTCGGCCTCCCAAAGTGCTGGGATTACAGGCTTGAGCCACCGCGCCCAGCCTAAAAACTGTTTTTAAGCATGTGTCAGTATTTGTTCCCCGGCTCATGTCTGCATAACTCCATTTTTTTTTTTTTTTTTTTGAGACGAGTATCACTGTGTCTTCCAGGCTGGAGTGCAGTGGCATGTTCTTGGCTCATTGTCACTGTTGCCGCCCAGGCCCAAGTGATCCTCCCACCTCAGCCTTCCAGGTAGCTAGGATTTTAGGTGTATACCACATGCCTGGCTAATTTTTGTATTTTTTGTAGAGATGGGGTTTTGCCATGTCACCTAGTCTGGTCTTCAACTTCTGGACTCAAGCCATCTCCCCACCTTGGCCTCCCAGAGTGCTGGGATTATAGGCGTGAGCCACTGCACCTGGCTGTAACTCTGACTACTTCCATTCTCTCATCTGCTCTGACTGACCCTGCTGCTTCTCTCTTTCGCTTACATTGGGCCCACCCAGACAATTTAGGATAATCTTCCCATCTGAAGATCCTTAACATCTGCAAAGTCCTTTTTTGCCACATACGGTAACATTCACAGGCTTTGGGGATTAAGACATGTACATCTTTGGGAGGCCCATTATTCTACCTAACATATGGACTTTAGATCTTTTATCATTATCCCACTATTCCTTAAGGCTCTGTTCTTTTTTTTTTCTTTTTCAGTCTATTTTCTCTCTGTTGTTTAGATATAGCAAACTATTGATCTTGTCTTCATGTTCATCAAATTTATCTTCTGTCATTTCCATTCTATTAAGTCTATCCAGGAAATGTTTTGTTTTGGTAATTGTATGTTTCAGTTGTATAATTTCCATGTGGTACTTTAAAAAGTAACTTCTTGGCCCATGTGGTACTTTAAAAAGTAACTTCTTGGCCAGGCTCGGTGGCTCAAGCCTGTAATCCCAGCACTTTGGGAGGCCGAGGTGGGTGGATCACGAGGTCAGGAGATTGAGACCATCCTGGCCAACATGGTGAAACCCCGTCTCTACTAAAAATACAAAAATTAGCTGGGGGTGGTGGCATGCACCTGTAGTCCCAGCTACTTGGGAGACTGAGGCAGGAGAATTGCTTGAACCTGGGAGGCGGAGATGGCAGGGAGCTGAGATTGTGCCACTGCACTCCAGCCTGGTGCCTGGTGACAGAGTGAGCCTCTGTCTCCAAAAAAAAAAAAAAAAAAGTAACTTCTTTGCTGAGATTTTCTGTTTTTTATTTGTTTGAATTTTTTTTTTCTTTGTTTGTTTTGAGATGGAGTCTCACTCTGTTGCCAGGCTAGAGTGCAGTGGTGCAATCTTGGCTCACTGCGACCTCCGCCTCCTGGGTTCAAGTGATTCTCGTGCCTCAGACTCCTGAGTAGCTGGGATTTCAGTACTGCGCCACCACACCAAGCTAATTTTTGTATTTTTAGTAGAGATGGGGTTTTACCATGTTGGCCAGGATAGTCTTGATCTCCTGATCCATCTACCTTGGCTTCCCAAAGTGCTGGGATTACAGATGTGAGCTACAGTGCCTGGCCTGTTTCAGAAGATTTTGTAATTGTTTGTAGAAGCACTTTCGTGATGGCTTCTTTAAAATTCTTGTGAGATAATTGCAACAACTGATATGTCTTGGTGCTGGCATCAGTATGATCATCTTTTTTTTTTTTTCCCTTCATTCAAGTGTGCTTTTCCTGGCTCTTGGTATGACATGTCATTTTTTTGTTTTGTAATTATATCTTGGACATTTAGGTTATTATGTGAGGAGACTTTTTTTTTCTTCTTTAAATGAGACAGGGTCTTGCTATGTTTCCCAGGCTGGTCTCTAACTCCTGGCCTTAGACGATCCTCTTGCCTCAGCCTCCTGATTATCTAGGATTACAGGTGCATGCCATTGCACCTGGCTGAGACTCTTTATCCTGTTTAATTCTTCTATTTTAATAGGCAGTTACCCTATTTAGGTTTAGTGTATAGCTCTTGTCCTACTTTTGTGAGCTGTAATCCTATGGTAATTCAGTTTTCAGATCTCTTGCAATGCTATTTTCTTCTATTTTATTCTTTTAGAACTCTCATTTATTCAGCTAGAACTCCTGTTCTATCTCTGCAGCTCCCTGGGCTGACTTGTGGGTGTGGGGCCTTGGCTCTGCTGCTGCTAAGGGCAGATTGACTTGACATTGCCACAGGTGTGGGGCAGATACCTGGCTGGCACTGTGGTGAATCTGGCCGGTCACTGTTTCAGGCCTAGTGTGGAGACCCTGCTGATGCTGCCGTGGATTGGGTTCACCACTGTCCTGGATGGGGACAGGAAAATGTACCTCTCTGCTAGGCCTCTGCTGAGCTGCCCTTTTCACAGTCTGTTGGCCAGAGACAGCAGAGTTTTCTCATTTGTTTATTTGTCTTTATCTACGTTATCCATCCATTTATGATGTTTGTTCCAGTTTGCAAGCCTCCTTGGTGTCCAGTCTGGGATATTTGGGAGGTAAAGGGAAAACCCAGCGAACTTACTGTGGTGTTTTTGTGAAGTCTTGAGATCCCTAACTAGTCTACTTCTCTTTTTCTGCATTTCAGAATCTTCTTATGATTGTTGAATTATTTTTCTGCTCTTTTGTTGTATTTGGAGTGGAGGAGTGAGGAAATGTGAGCCTATGCCATTGTATTCTAGAACTGGAATCCTAGCAGCTTTGAAATTTATTTTTGCACTGGTATTTATTGGCAATACATATGAAATGGTTGAGGCTTTGCTTTAACTGACACTCTTTAGAGTGTTTTTCTGCATCTGTTATGCACTGTAGGAAGAAGATAGGGATTACTCTTGTTTAAATTGTATGGGAATTAAAAATGTCATGTTTTTATATATCCATCCACTTATTTACTCTTTTATATATTTGTTTTTAGGGAGCGGAGCAACTGCTGTGGTCCAAGCAGCTTATTGTGCCCCTAAAAAGGAGAAAGTGGCAATCAAACGGATAAACCTCGAGAAATGTCAGACTAGCATGGATGAGCTCCTGGTATGCACATCTCATACTTCTTAAATGGAGAGATATAGTCGTATATATTCATGTTACAGTGGGAAATAACTTGACGTTTTTGATTTTTTTTAAAGGTTTATGATTTTTTCATTAATAAATAATGTTCATTGCAAAATTTATAGTCTGGATAAGTAGAAAGAAAAAAATTAGTTGTAATTTTCTTGCTCTGAGATTAACCTTTACTATATAACCTTTCAGAGTGAACATTTTAATATATTTGTATTTTTGTGATAATGTAATCATATGCCCTTTTCATTTAACAGTTTATCATAGAACTCTTTCTATATCTGTAAATATGGATCAGTATGATTTACAACGTGTATATAGCATTCTGTTGAATAGACCACAATTTATTAAACTGCCATACAAATATGAACTAATACTGTTATTTTATTACATAATTTCTTTAAGAGGGTATAGAGCTGTGATAGAAAGGTCAGGGATTAGGACTGGAGTGACCTGTCCATCTAGAAGTTTTTTTCACGGTCCCAAATTGTATTTTATTTCTGGTGGTGTCTATAGTTAGTATTAGGGAATAATTGGAATTAAAGAAAGAAGTAATGGAGTTATATATTGCATAAAATATAATAATATATGAGATGGACGAGACAAATGTATTTCTTCAGGAATTGGTAATGTATGAGCAGAAACTGAAGAAATTGGTTGCTGGAATGATTTTGAGCCATGTTTGGTGAGACAATGCATACTTGGAAGGAAATGCTGATTGAAATCTTATTTAAAGATCTTGGATTGATACATACTATAATACTTTAGAGCACCATTTGGACATTTGAACTGCAGTGATGATAAAATATTTGTCTATAACTGTAAACTAATTCTGTTAAAGAAAAACAAAAATTTTAACCTACATATTAAGACTAGAATTTGAGAAGTCCTATATGAAGCCCTATCATTTGCCAGTTATTTAATTGATAATGATAGAGTAAAATGAATGAAAGTCTTGTTATTTAAACTACTTCATGATTAAGCTGAGGTTTAAGGTTTGAATAACTTAAGTTCACATGATTATAATAGCAAACATCTTTCAGTACTAGGCACTGCAGTGTACTTTAACCTTACACACATTTCTATGAGCTACGTAGTAGCTCTATTTTAAAGATGAAGGAAGTAAATCATATAATAAATGACAGAGTCTGGATTAAAAATCAGGTCTATCAGGTTTATTATTGTCTACTTAACAAAATGATTATAGTCTTAGTTCAAAAGTAGGAAGACCATTTCTTTTCTTTTCTTTTTTATTTAAAATGGAGTCTCACTGTCTCCCAGGCTGGAATGCCGTGGTGTGATCTCGGCTCACTGTAATCTCCACCTCCTGGGTTCAAGTGATTCTCCTACCTCAGCCTCCTGAGTTGTTGGGATTACAGGCATGTGCCACCACACCCAGCTAATTTTTCTGTTTTTAGTAGAGTTGGGGTTTCACCATGTTGGCCAGGCTGATCTTGAACTACTGATCTCAGGTGATCCACCTGCCTCAGCCTCCCAAAGTCCTGGGATTACAGGCTTGAGCCACCGTGCCCGGCCGAACATTTCTTTTTAAATATCATTTGACATTCTCGAAAGCAATATTTTTGTTCTTACAGTGGCGGCTTTTAGAGGAATGAAGATTTGTTATATCTTATTAAAAAGAAAAAATTAGTTAGATATATGTACATTTTGATCATGTTTCAATACGTTTTATGTTGCAAATATAGTTTGCATATATTAATACTTGGCAAATAAGTAAAGGGGAAAAGTAAATTTTAGTAAAGCAAGTCTAAGATACTTGGGTTTTTGGGGTTGGGGGAGGCAAGCAGGTAAGATCTCACCACATACTGATGAAACATCAGGAATGTAGAGAATACCTCGTTTATTTGTGATACCAGGACCTGTTCTATGGGATACTGAGATCTGAGTGCCAGCAGCTCTATTTCTGAGATGTGAAGCCCTTCAGTTTACCTTAAAAAAATCTATAAGATCAATGTACTAAACTTTTGATGTTGTGATATTAAAATTTATTTACAAAGCTGTCTTTGGGTTATCCAAAGAACACTGTAGTCTTTGGGTTTTCCAAAGAACGCTCATGTAAACTGGGCTAACAAGTGTGTATCGTGTGACAGTTACTAGTGAGTGGGCAGTGTACTGCTCCTTTCTCTTGTCATGTATTTTCTATCTGATAACCTTTGCTAAGTGTGATGGGAAAATCAATATGTGGTAAAAGTTATCAAATATTATTATATTTATTGTTTCCAGAGATTGTACTTCTAGGTTTTTCTCTAAGAAAGACACATTGTAGTATTTTTGAAATATTTATCTTCTCTGATAGATGGTAGGACTGAAGTCATTGGACATCTGTGGGGGACATCAAGAGGCTTAAAACACTTCTAACAGGTGTTTCACAATCCAGTTAAAAAGTTGAGATTCTTGCCTGTTGTACAAGGCAGAGTGACACATGTTTCAGGGGAGGTATAAAGTAATTTGAAAGAGGGCTGGGCGTGGTGACTCATGCCTGTAATCCCAGCAGTTTGGAAGGCCAAGGCAGGCAAATCACCTGAGGTCTAGAGTTCGAGACCAGCCTGGCCAACATGGTGAAACCCTGTCTCTACTAAAAATACAAAAATTACCCGGCGGTGGTGGCATGCACCTGTAATCCCAGCTACTTGGAAGGCTGAGGCAAAAGAATCGCTTGAACTCAGGAGGCAGACGTTACAGTGAGCCGAGATCACGCCACTGCCCTCCAGCCTGGGCAACAGAGCAAGACTCTGTCTCAAAAAAAAAAAAAAAGAAAAGAAGAAAGATTATTTCCAATCAAATGCAGATGGAAAATGCAGTATTCACAGGATGAGAAACTCACATATGCACAGGGCTGACTTTTCACACAATGAGGGTTCTGCATGGATTTGGGCATATTTGGGGGTCCTGAAACCAATTCCCCACATATACTGAGGGACAACTGTACCCTGTTTCTTTTGGAGTTATGAAATGTTCTGGAATTAATTGGTGATGGTTGTACAACTCTTTGAGTACACTGAATTGGACACTTTAAAAGAGTAAATTTTATGGTGTGTGAATTATATCACAATAAAGCTGTTATAGGTCAGAAATAATGGCTCACACCTGTAATCCTAGCACATCGGGAAGCCAAGGCGGGAGGACTGCTTGAGTCCAGGAGTTTGAGACCAGCATGGGCAACATAGTGAGACTCTATCTCTGAAAAATAAAAAAATTAGCCAGGCCAGGGACGAGAGCTCACGTCTGTAATCCCAGCATTTGGGAGGCCAAGTTGGGTGGATTGCTTGAGCCCAAGAGTTCAAGACCAGCCTGGCAACATAGGACTCCGGCTCTACAAAAATACAAAATTTAGCGAGGTATCGTGGCACACATCTGTAGTCCTAGCTACTCAGGAGGCTGAGGTAGGAGCCCGGGAGGTTGAGCCCAGGAGGTTGAGGCTGCAGTGAGCTGGGTCACACCACTACACTCCAGCCTGGTTTAAAAAGCAAGACCCTGTCTCATTTAAAAAAAAAAAAAAAAAAAAAGCCAGATACGTGGTGCACATCTGTAGTCCCATCTAGTCTGGAGCCTGAGGTGGGAGGATCACCTGAGCCCGGGAGGTTGAGGCTGCAGTGGGCCATGATCTACCACTGTACTCCAGCCTGAGTGACAGAGAAAGACCCCATCTCAAAAATAAAGCTGTTATTTAAAAATCCTTTCAAGTGTGCGAACACATTTCTAATACTAATGTGCTGCAAACATTAAAAATTTAACATGAGGCCAGGTGTGGTGGCTCATGCCTACAGACTAGCACTTTGTGATTTCAAGGCAGGAGGATCACTTGAGCCCAGGAGTTTGAGACCAGCCTGGGCCACATGGCAAAACCTTGTCTCTACAAAAAATACAAAAAAAAAAAAAAAAAAAAAAATAGCTAGGTGTGGTGTTGCATGCCTGTAGTCCCAGATGCTTGGGAGGTTGAGATGGGAAGATGGCTTGAGCCTGAGAGGTGGAGATTGCAGTGAGTCAAGATGTTGTGCCACTACGCTTCAAGCCTGAGTGATAGAGCCAGATCTTTTCTTCTTTTCTTTCATATTTAGCTTTTAGTACAGAAGACTGTGCTGGTGATTTCAGGGTTGCAAGATGTGTATGACAAGATCCTTGCCATAAAGGAAGTTACATTCAAGTAGAGAAGATGAAAAATGGAAAGTTAGCATTTATTGAGCATTCCTTATGAATCAGGGATTATGAATGACTTTCACACAATTGATCTTACTGAACAAATACCAAGGGCATAGGGCAGGTACGTTAATAAGTGAAAAAAGCCATATAAAGTGCTGCAGTATTTCATTCATTCAGCAAATATTTACTGAAGGTGTACTGTGTGCCAGGCACAATGATATATGCTAAGAACTGTTTTAGTTATCACTGAGCTTACAGTTTTGTGGGGGATGTGTAAACAAATGGGCAGTTACAGTATAGTATAGTCAGTTGAGTTCTATAGTGATTAAGAATCTACTTTTGCCGGGCACAGTGGTTCAAGCCTGTAATCCCAGCACTTTGGGAGGCCGAGGCGGGTGGATCACGAGGTCAAGAGATCGAGACCATCCTGGTCAACATGGTGAAACCCCGTCTCTACTAAAATCCAAAAAAAAAATTAGCTGGGCATGGTGGTGCATGCCTGTAATCCCAGCTACTCAGGAGGCTGAGGCAGGAGAATTGCCTGAACCCAGGAGGCGAAGGTTGCGGTGAGCCAAGATCGTGCCATTGCACTCCAGCCTGGGTAACAAGAGCGAAAACTCTGTCTCAAAAAAAAAAAAATCTACTTTTAAGTACTTGCCTTTATGGAGCTGTCAGCCTAGCAGGGAGAGACAGACAAATAAGCACACAGTGTACTATCCAGTATTTTATGTACCATGATGGGAGGAGATACACAGGGTACTTGGAAGCTGAGAAGGAGCATCTAACCAAAGCTGGGAAGTTGGAAGGAAATTCTGTCTAGACTGAGATCAGAAGGAAGAGTTGGAGCAAGCGTCCCCAAACTTTTTACACAGGGGGCCAGTTCACTGTCCCTCAGACCATTGGAGGGCCACCACATACTGTGCTCCTCTCACTGACCACCAATGAAAGAGGTGCCCTTTCTTGAAGTGCGATGGTGGGGGGTGGGCCGGATAAATGGCCTCAGGGGGCCGCATGCGGCCCCCTGAGCCGTAGTTTGGGGATGCCTGAGTTGGAGTTAGCTAGGCAGAGATGATGGGGGAAGTGTATTTGAGGCTGAGGCACAATAGGGTTAAATGTCCAGAGTTAAAAGAAGCATGACTCACTTGCAGTTTTCTGTGGCTGGATCAGGTACTGGGTTGTGAAGGGGCACAGGAATGGGACCTGTAAACAGGTAAACAGAGGTAAACAGGGCCTTGATCACACAGGGCTTTATAAGGCATTTTGTCATACCAAATCTAATTTAAAATCATAAGCTGAGATAGAGTAAGCTTAGACTTTCAGCTCAGATTTCTGCTCTGGATTTAGTTTTTGATGTCCTGTTTCAGTTTGTTTCTCTTTAGTGTCAAAATTATTAATCATTTCACAAAAATGGAATGAAATAATATGTTGCAAAAAAATAAAAACCCTACACAAATAATAATAATTTTTAAAAACCTGTTTATTAGTTAATATCCTTTGTACCTATATAACCAGGCCTCCTGGAGTGTTGTGCCAGGGTGTGTTAAATAGTGTGTTTCTAGTTTGAAAGATTACTAGTATAATGAGTGGAGGAAGAAGTTGAGTCAGAATGGACTGAGGGAGACATGGTGGTTTTATTGGTTTATCTATTCATTAAGAAATCAAAGCTATGAACATCCCAGAATGGTGTGACAAAGTCTTGAGATTTCAAAATCTGGATTTGGTAACTCACAACATTTGTTTTAGGCTTGCATATAATGAATTATCATGTTTTCTCTTCTTTGTAGAAAGAAATTCAAGCCATGAGTCAATGCCATCATCCTAATATTGTATCTTACTACACATCTTTTGTGGTAAAAGATGAGCTGTGGCTTGTCATGAAGCTGCTAAGTGGAGGTGAGTAAAGTACAAGGAAATGCTATAAGTACCATGGTTCGAAAAGTTAATACAATTTCCTTCTTTCTTATCCTGGTTTTGTTTTCATGACCATTTGCATTTGAGGAGGTACTGAAAATATAGTATTTGCTGAAGATGCTAATCTGTGAGCCAAGACAGGTTTCACAGCTTGCATTTGGTCCATTTCGTTGTCATGCAGCTTAAATCTCTCCATTTTTTTTTAGAGGCAGACTGGCTCTGTCGCCCAGGCTGGAGTGCAGTGGTACTATCATGGCTCACTGCAGCCTCAAACTCCTGGACTCAAGTGGTCCTCCCGTCTCAGCCTCACAAGTAGCTGAGACTACAGGCGTGTACCACCGTGCTCAAGTAATTTTGTTATTTAATACAAATTTTTTTTGGCAACGGGATCTCACTATGTTGCCTAGGCTCATCTCCAATTCTTGTCTTCAAGCGATCCGTCCACCTTGGTCTCCCAAAGTGCTGGGATTACAGGTGTGAACCACTGTGCCTGGTCTAAATCTCTCTTAATTTAGGATGCTTCCTTCTTGCTTCCTCCCTTCCATGATAGAAACTTATTGAAGAGTCTAGTCCAGTTATCTTGTAGAATGTGCCATATTCTGGATTTATCTGATTATTTCTTCTTGGTAGCATTTAACTTGATCTATAGTCCTCTTTTTCTTGTGTATTGAAAATTAGATCTAAAGGCTTTATTAAATTCAAGTTAAATATTTTGGGGGAGGATACTTCTGGGTGTTGCTGTGTACTTCATATTGCACTACATCAGGAAATTGCTATCTGGTTGTCTTTTTAATAGTGATGTTAGTTTTGTTTGCTTAAGATTAGGACAACCAGGCCTCTCCATGAAAAAGGTAACATTTTCCCTTTTGTAGCTGGCAAGTAATCTGTGAGATGATACTTTGTGAGTATCTAATGAGTGTCCAGTTCTCCATAAGTCTTTTGTCTAATGATTTTCACATTCATTGTTTGAATCAGGGGTTGTAAAATGGTGATTTTTCTTACAGCATTATTTCTTTTATATTTATAAGCTGGCATCCTTCTGTGTAGAACTTTTCCTTATCAACTGGGACACTGATTAATCTGTTCTCTAGTTCCTACTGAAAAGGCGAGATAAATAATTGAGTTTTTTTTTTTAAGTACGAAGTTTTAGAGTAAAAAGTTGGTCTAGTAATCATCTGCAGTGGTAGGCACTGAGAGGGTTTAAAAATTTCCCTTTTTCCAATTGGGTAGGGCCTGCACTTTTTGGAGTATTATTAAAGATCCAAGGATTTTTATGTATTCAGTGTCTTTCCATCAGTTATGCTCTATTCTTTCTGATATGCAGGTTGTCCAAAATTTGTCAATGGGAGCCCTTTCAAAGTCACTCTTGTGTCCTCTTGATATGAACCCATCAGTCTTTCATTGTATCCTTACATTTTAATTCAAGATTCCCTAGGGTTATATTTGTATTCATTCTCCCAGACCCTGAATCAGCCAATATTCCAATGAGCTTTGATGTTTTTTACTCAGGAATGTACTTAGAAGAAAGCATAACTTGGATGCTTGGAGTGCTCATTACTACCCTAGTGTCATTGCTTCTAGAGCTTGGAAATATAGTAGGTTAAAAATAAATCATAATTTGACATTAATATTTCCAATACAAGTTTAATGTCCTTGACTTTTTAAGCTTCTTTAATATTATACTTGAATCTCTTTTCCTTTACACAGAAAATCTTGATACCCAATATTAAGATAATTACTGAAGTGCTTTATCTTGTAATGTATGTATAGTTATTTCTGCTGTGTTCTTACAATAAAATACAAATATTGCTGATTGTAAACTGTGAAACCTTGACATGTATAGATCAAACATTTTGTTATGGTTACCCGAAAGCCCCATGCCATTTGGTAAATTAGTCACTTTGCCAAGGCATGGATTTGAATCACATGGCAGTAAGACTCGTAGGACTAGTGAGTGATGGAGCCACACTGGCCTTCCTGTCACTATGCTGCTTGGTTTTGGCTTGCATGTGTATTTTGTGGGGGAGTATGATTTTCCATCCTAAAATGTAGAGTTACAGAAAAGAGAATCCATGTTTGTTTAGTTTGCAGTTTTATTGCTATATCTCACTGAACACTATACTTCCCCAAAGAGACTATAAACAGCATAGACTTTAGAATTAAATTTCAGTTTTTCTACTTAGCACTCGTATGTCATTGGGAAAACTCTTTCATCTCTTTGAACCTTTTTACTTATCTGTTAAGTGGGTATACCTTTCTGCATTTCAGAGAATTGATGAGGAGCAAATGAGATGATATATGTAAATCGTCCACCACTGTGCTGACATGTAATAGGTGCACAATAAATTTTAGTCATTAATAGTAATAATCCCTTGCTATTGGATGCTTTTCAGTGTAGCCAGAATCACCTTTTTGTTTCAATCCCATTAGTGACACACTGGAGAAACTGGATTGCTTTGTTAAAGGCCCTGTTCATATGATGGTTGGAAGCCTTGCTAACACCAACCACCTTTCAAGATGGTGGTCAAGCATGGTTCTTTCTGTATGGAGAGATATGGGAGTATTAGGTAATACTGTATCTTTCATTATTGATCACCTATAACATAATTTTTTTATTTGTAGTTTATAAGAATATGTAATGCAAAGGTTTTAATGTTTTGCAAAAAAGTCCTCTGGTGAATGGGAATAAATTGCTTAATTCTCTTGTCCATACCTGTATGCTAGCCCATCCTTCTTTCTGCTACTCCTAAGCAGAATGGCTTTTTTTTTTTAGAATTCCTGTTCCTCTCTCAGTGAGTATATGAATTGATTGTGGAAGGGGTAGGACATGTAAATGGGTAGGATGTCTTTTAAATGTGGCTCTTTGTCCCTCTTGGTCTGGTCTTAAGTTTTCTGGGACATTACCCAATTTTTCAAGACTAGCACTTGGCAGATTTCTTGGAGGATAATTTTCAAACATGTTCCATTTAGTCATAACCCTTTTTATAAGTGCTTATATTTTTATGAGTCAACATGATCATTATATCTAAACCTTTTATTTTATTTTATTTTATTTTTTGAGATGGAATCTCGCTGTGTCACCCACGCTGGAGTGCAGTGGCATGATATCAGCTCATTGCAACCTCTGCATCCTGAGTTTATGTTATTCTCCTGCCTCAGCCTGCCAAGTAGCTCGTACTACAGGTGTGTGTCACCATGCCCGGCACATTTTTTTAATTTTTAGTAGAGATGGGGTTTCACCATGTTAGCCAGGATGGTCCTTAGCCTCCCAAAGTGCTGGGATTATCGGCGTGAGCCGCAGTGCCTGGCCTAAACCTTTTAAATATTAAAAATTTTGCATTTGTTTTAGGAAAATGAAATTTTGCTTTTGTTGTTATAAAATGAATAAACATTTAAACTGAGGTGATACATTAGGCAACATTTAGAAAACAAAAGTTAGAACGAAGCACAGCTTAAGTTTTGTTTTTTTGTTTTTTTTAAATAAAGATGGGGTTTCACCATGTTGGTCAGGTGAAACTGGTCTTGAACTCCCGACCTCAGGTGATCTGCCTGCCTTGGCCTCCAAAGTGCTTGGATTACAGGCGTGAGCCACCATGCCCGGCCAAATTTTTTTTTTTTTTTTAAACAGGAGGAAGATGTGTCAGGATTGTAGCTTAATTAAAATGCCGTTCATCAAATACTTACTGATCTCCAGTACACTGGTGAATAAAGTTACCAGTTCCTTGCTCTCATAGGCTATGGGAACAAGTTCCAGGAGAACTTAACCTTGAGGGAGAATTGGTTGCCCTGAGATTAACAAAGACTTACCTTCAGGAGGTGATGTCCAGCTGAGAGCTAATGAATAGGGTAATAATTGGCTGGGTGAGGTGGCTCATGCCTGCTATCCCAGTGCTTTGAGAGGTTGAGGTGGAAAGAATGCTTTAGGCCAAGAGTTCAACAGCCCAGCCTGGACAACATGGAAAGACCCTGTCTCTACCAAAAATAAAACCATTTGCTAAGCTTTGATCAGTTGTCCCAGCTACTTGGGAGGCTGGAGGAGAGCTTGAGGCCAGGCCTTGGAGGCTGAGGCAAGCTGTGATCCTGCCACCACAGTCTAGCTAGGCAACAGAGTGAGACTCTGTCTCTAAAAAAAATTTAAAAATTAGAAAGAATAACTAATAATTAGCCAGGTGAAATGGGGGCTGGAGTTAGTACTTGGGAAGGATGGGAGATGTGATCCAGCTAGAATACGGTGAAAAAAGGGATGGAGACAGGATGCAGTGTGTGTGTCTTGAAAACTGACAGATTCACAGTTGGAGCAGAGAGAATGAGAGAAGAGGACTCTCGGAAGAGGCTTACTGAAAAGCAAAGACTCCCAAAATTAAAAAATATAAATAACCAGAGTTAACAGAAATATGTATAGGGTACCTTCTTTCACATCAACTTTTTTAGTCAGAATATTGAAAACAAAAGCATAGTTTTGATTTAGGAACATTGTACTGATGTATAATTTAATAAACTAATTCATAAAATGAATAATGAGTCACTCTTAAGCCCACCAACCAAGTGTACATCCTGGTTAAAATAAGTTTAGTTGTGTCAATATTATAATCAATTTATGATGCTTCCTTATAACTGTAATATTCCTATCTTTTCTAATTAAAACTCTCATATTGAATGTTGGGATTTATTACTACAGGAAGTTAAGCTTTAGAAGTTAGAAGCACTTTTGTATAAATAGTTATTTCCACAGTTTATTAGCACCAAACTGCAAATGTAAGCTTTTAAGAAATCAAAGTAATTTAAAAAAACTTCTGAGATGAAAAAAGAGGTACCTGTAGTACTTAAAGGGAGTTAAGTGTAGAAATGCAGAAATCTAATGTAAATTCACTGTCTTAGATAGTTGTTTAAGCATGTGCTCAAGTTTGTCTTTTTCTTTTTCTTTCCTTTTTTTTTTTTAAAGATGGGGTTTCACCCTGATGGCCAGGCTGGTCTTGAACTCCTGACCTCAGGTGATCCACCCACCTTGGCCTCCCAAAGTGCTAGGATTACAGGCATGAGCCACGGCGCCTGGCCTAACTTTGTCTTTTTCTAAGAGAGAAAAAACATGGGGACTTCCTTCATCTACAGCAGGACCCAGGTAAAATGTCTCATAATAGTAGTGACCAGCTATGGATGTTCAAGTAACAGTGCAGGGTGTTTAAATTTCTGTAACGTCTTTTGGTCTAAAATGGAATACTCACACCAAGTAAATTGCGGCCCCTTTGAAATCTTCTGAGGCTTAGGAAGACATAAGCAGTAAAGTCTTTTACTACTAGTAGTAGCTAAAGATTGATTAAAACTTCTTGCTAGGTGCGGTGGCTCACGCTTGTAATCACAACACTTTGGGATGCCGAGGTGGGTGGATCATGAGGTCAGGAGTTCGAGACCAGCCTGACCAGCATGGTGAAACCCTGTCTCTACCAAATGTAGAAAACTTAGCCAGGCATGGTGGTGCATGCCTGTAGTTCCAGCTACTCAGGAGGTTGAGTCAGGAGAACTGCTTGAACCCAGGAGTGAGGTTGCAGTGAGCCACGATTTTGCCACTATTCCAGCCTGGGTGACAGAGTGACTCCATCTCAAAACAAAACAAAAAACTTGTTAGCAGAGATACCAGTAACTAAGTTAATGAATTGATTTTATATTTAAAGAGTATCTTCTTATACAAGTAAACTGAGGAAATTAACTTGTTGATGGGGTAATTAATTTGATTGAGTTATAATTTTCAGACTTAACAAGTGTCTGAAGCCAGCAGCTACTTCACTACTTTGTCAAATATTATTTTCATATTTTTGTTGGACAATTAAATTTTTGCATTGCTTTTTAACATGTTCCGTGCCACAGGCCATGAAGTCTGATGGGGAATATTTTTTGGGAATAGATGATCTACATTTAAACTTTTTGCTTTGTTACAAAATTTTGTTTGTATCCAAACAAAAATACCCTTGTTTCCCATTATTTGATTGATTTATTTTTACTTTGAAAAATGTTTGGATTTTAATGGACAGCTTTCATTAAAGCCGTCTGTAAGTTGTTAAATGCCTTTTGAAATGCAGCTTCTTGGGCCCTACCTCAGTTCTCTTGAATGACTGTTGTATATGGCCTGGGAATGTACATTTTTACAAGTTTGCCAAGTAATTCCTTCACACGTTAAAGTTTGAGAACAGATTATTCCTAAATACTATTACCAATTAGGCATGAGGACAAAATACTACATACACAGTTATAGCTTTCCCTCATTCTTCCTACCTTAGGTGTTAATTGAATCACTCAGTGGTAATCTGCTGCCTCCTTTTGCTTAGCATATTTTCTCTTCACCTTTCTCTTAGTTGACGTGAAGAATTCTTTATAATTTTGATGTTTAAGGATGGAGGATTATAAACACTTGTCATTGAGTTAGAGGCTACCAGAGGTTTAAAAAACTAAATGGATAAGAAGTGGTGGGGGTGGGGGGTACCTTACAGGACCAGTGTCTCTCAGTAAAGGATGAAGGTCTTGGCGACATGATGATTCCTCCACCTATAATAATAACATTGTTGGGAGGAGTTTGAAACTGAAATTGTTAGCCAGATCAGAAGGGTTTCATATATAGGCTTTGTTCAAAATGTCTGTTCTGGACATACAGGCTAGAGATGGGCATTGCTTCAGTCTCCTCATTGATCATTGGACGGTGTGAAGTCAATAAAAATCTGAAAATTTGGAAAGGAGCTCCTGCTTCAAACTCTTTACAGATATAGTCACTTTTTAGGTGCCCCAGGATCTTTGATGCTGCATTTGTTTGATCTACCAGACTGGAAGTTCCCTTAAAGTCAGCAATCATGTCATGTATATCTTGTCATATTTGGGGGCACCCAGTCTTAGATCTCACATGTAATGTAATAGGGCTTAATTGATGAATGAATGAGTTCTGGTAATTTTTCATTTCCAGTAGGAATTGGTTTTCCTTTGCATTCCTTATTTTAGGTATTACGTTACAAACATGGGACTTGATCAGTGTTAATTAACATAATTGTTTTCTTTTTTTTTTTTTTTTTTTGAGACAGAGTTTTGCTCTTGTTACCCAGGCTGGAGTGCAATGGCGCGATCTCGGCTCACCGCAACCTCCGCCTCCTGGGTTCAGGCAATTCTCCTGCCTCAGCCTCCTGAGTAGCTGGGATTACAGGCACGTGCCACCATGCCCAGCTAATTTTTTGTATTTTTAGTAGAGATGGGGTTTCACTATGTTGACCGGGATGGTCTCGATCTCTTGACCTCGTGATCCACCCGCCTCGGCCTCCCAAAGTGCTGGGATTACAGGCTTGAGCCACCGCGCCCGGTCATAATTGTTTTCTTAATGAAGTATTTATGTGGCCTAGGTTTCTTGAACAGTGGAACATATGAGCCTTTGGTATAATCATTTTGCTTTGGGGATTCACGTGTGATTGATTAAACTAAGCAGAACAAACTTCTTCCTTAGGTCTCTCCCCTTTTGGATCACAAACTTGTGAATCCCAGCAATGGAGAGGACAAAGGACCAGTGTAGTAATGTGTTGGGAAACCTGTCTGGGAGCTTTCTGGAGAGTGAGCCTCTCTGGTTCACAGAGACTAAACTGCCTATCTCCTGTTGGTGGTGAAGAGTATTAAAGGGCAAGCCTCCGGGAGGAAGAAGGATCTGAGAATCTTACTCTCTTTTATCTGAACTTTCAACCAGTTTTCCTGTTTTCAACCCTGTCCTCCACTCTTCCCTCACATACGGTACTTGCTGTGTGTGTTTTTGAGCCTTTCTGGAGCTCTGGGTAGGGATCACTTTGTCCTAAATGGAACAGCTCCTCTGCAGGCACTGAAGTTCAGATTTCTCCACTGTGCTTGGTTACTTTTTCTTTTTCTTCTATCTTCTAGAATATTGTTGCCATCTGTCTTCTGTCATCTTTCTGGTCCTCTTTTTAAATTGTGGGTTTATGTCTTTTTAATCAAGTTTACCAAGTTAGTGGATTTTAAGTGGGAGCTAAAATAAACGTGTTCAATCCCTCATGTTTTTGAGAATTCTGTTTCTTTCTATGTATTGGGAAGTATGTTTTTTCTTGTTAAGAGTATGAAGTAAAAGTACCCAGTAGGGCAAGTTTTCAAGAGAACTGTGTAAGCGGTTGTTTTGATTTTAGTCTTGATCACTGAAGTCTTGTACCAAGAAATGAGTATTGAATCTTTTCAGTGCAGTCTATGTAATGTTCTAGACCTCTTGGCACAGTTGCTAATATTGGAAATTGTTTTGTTTTGGTTCTGTGATTGTTATGGGCCATTATATTACCAGAAATCTTATGAATTTCCACCAAACTTTTTACTGATTATGATCTTCAGTTTTGGCAGGCAGCATTGTGCTTTTAATTACGATATAGGTGTCTTTTCCTCCCCGCCTTCAACCTTTACTAGGAGCATTATTTCCTATTCTGGGAAGTTTAGGATTGTTAATACTCAAGAGAACTGTAATTTTTATTCTTTTTGTATTTGTCTTTTCCTTGCCTATTTTAGTTCTATAATTTATTAACCTAAAAAGTAATTTTAGTCCTAAGTTAGTTTGTATATATATGTGATCCAAGTATTTCATTCCTGATTTGATTGGCATTTCAGTTGTATTTTTATATCTTTAGTCATACAGTAGTGCATGTTCTAATCTGGTGTTAAAAGCCTACATTGGTTTGCGGTATCTTACAATATTACTGATGAGCATGGCTTACCTACGCATTATTTAGGGGGAGTTAAATATCCTCTACTACTTCTTCAGATTCTCACTAGATGTCCAAAGGAGATGCTAGCATAACATATTATTTGAATATTAGCAGGCTACGTTTTGTTTTAGATTGGACTTCTGTCCCTAGGTTGGAGTGCAATGGCACAATCTCAGCTCACTGCAACCTCCGCCTCCTAAGTTCAAGCAGTTCTCCTGCCTCAGCCTTCTGAGTTGCTGGGATTACAGGCATGCACCACCACACCCGGCTAATTTTTGTATTTTTAGTGGGACAGGGTTTCACCATGTTAGTCAGAATGATCTTGATCTCTTGACCTCGTGATATGCCCGCCTTGGCCTCCAAAGTGCTGGTGTTACAGGCGTGAGCCACCATGCCCGGCTGAAAATAAGTTATTTAAAAATTCTGTATTTCCTCATATTTGCTGGGTTTTTTTCCATTCCTATACAATTAAATTTATGAGAAGGTTCACATGTGTTTTGATTCTAAAATGGATCTGAATTATATTGAATGATTTAGAGATTTTTAGAAAATTATGTCTTCTGCTTTCAGGTTCTGTTCTGGATATTATTAAGCACATTGTGGCAAAAGGTGAACACAAAAGTGGAGTCCTCGATGAGTCTACCATTGCTACTATACTCCGAGAAGTACTGGAAGGTCTGGAGTATCTGCATAAAAATGGACAGATCCACAGGTATGTAAAAGACAACACACTTGTGTTACATCATCTCATTAAGGTCACTCCCACTCTTTTACAGAGTCATGATCTGCGTGTTATCACAGCCCTTTGTATCACTAGTTTTAGTACCCTGTGGTTAGAGTTTTAATTATACAGCTAGTAAACATTAAACAAGTACTTCAGTAAGACTGGACAATATAAAAACAGTAAAAATTCATAATTTCTAACCAAGAGGCATAATGACTGATAACATTTTGGAATATTGCTTTCCATTTTCTTTTATATGCTTAAAAAATATCTAAAGCAATACTGTATATGTAAGTTTGTCTGTTGCTTTTAAAATTTTACATTATAGGCCGGGCGCGGTGGCTCAAGCCTGTAATCCCAGCACTTTGGGAGGCCGAGGCAGGTGGATCACAAGGTCAAGAGATCGAAACCATCTTGGTCAACATGGTGAAACCCTGTCTCTACTAAAAATACAAAAAAAATAGCTGGGCATAGTGGTGCGTGCCTGTAATCCCAGCTACTCAGGAGGCTGAGGCAGGAGAATTGCCTGAACCCAGGAGGCGGAGGTTGCGGTGAGCCGAGATCGCGCCATTGCACTCCAGCCTGGGTAACAAGAGCGAAACTCCGTCTCAAAAAAAAAAAAAAAAAAAAAAAAAAATTTACATTATATCTTCAGTATTTCCCTAAATTCTTAAAAGCCTTTTGCAAAGTAACATTTTAAAAATTAAAGCCTTTTTTCCATTTTATTTATTTATTTTTTTGAGACATGGTCTGTCTTTGCAACCCAGACTAGAATGCCATGATCATAGCTCACTGCAACCTCAAACTCCTGGGTTCAAGTGATCCTCCCACCTCAGCTTCCCCAGTAGCTAGGGCTACAGGTGTGCTCCACCACTTTGGCTAATTTTTAATTTTTATAGAGATGGGGTCTCGCTGTGTTGTCCAGGCTGTTCTTAACTCCTGGTCTCAAAGTGATCTTCCTCCCGTGACCTTCTGAAGTGCTGAGATTACAGGCATAAGCCACTGTGCCCAGCCCTTTCTTTTGTTTTTTAATAAATAAGAACATTTTAATATTTCACGATCCTTTGTAAATGATCTATCTTAGTAGGTAATTACCCTGTTTAGGTTTTGTGTATAGGTCCTGGCATACTACTGAGATCTGTGGTTTCAATGATGATTTGATTTGCCATGCTTTTCTAGTCTGAATTTTTTTTCTTGTGGCGTTGTTGGGACTCCCATTCGATCCTTGATCATGCCACCTGTGAGAGTGGAGTGGATTTTTCTGGGCCGCTTGCTGCCAAGTGGAGAATGCATGGTAGATGCTGAGCTCAGGACTCATGGGTCTGTGAGCATTCTCCTAGCCCCACCATGTGGACTCCTACCTGGTGCCAGGGGGGCTTCCATTCAGTCACTGTTGATATTGCCTGTGGGAGTGGAAGGAAGGCCCTTGCTTTGGGCCACTCTGCTCCTGGGTGGGGAGTTGGGAAACACTGGACCTGCATAGTTCTTTGCTGCTGGGTGGAAGGCTAAGAGATGCCAGCTGTGCCGACTGGTGCTGCTGATGTGAGTAATGTGGGCCTACCTGCTGTACTGCATATGGGGCAGGAGATGAAGTTCCCCTGCCTGATCTTTATTGGCATTGCTCATTCCGTCATAGTGGGCCCTCCTGCAACTCCAGGTATGGAATCAGGGATGGGACCACCTGCTAGATTTTCTCCAGGCTGCCCATTTTCTGCTTCTTTAGGCAGGCTTGGGGGCCCTTTTGGATCTAAGTCTGTTGATAGTTCTGGGTTTTAGGGCTCTCTAGTGCCCAGTCTGAATTATAGCAGATTAAAGGAATGCTCAGGAAACTTTTTTTTTTTTTTTAACCTTTCCTATGATGCCAAAAAACTTGGGAAATGTAATGTCATATTGTTCTTCAAGTCCTGAGGCCCCTAGCCACCCTGCCTTCCTCTTTTTGCCTTTCAGAGTTCTTTTATGATTGTCTGTTAGTTTATTTCTGGGAATTTTAGATATACTTAAAGGGGAGGAGCAAGGAAATGTAAACCTATGCCATTTGGTTTGGGAGCAGAACTAGCCCCTGGATTTGGAATGGAGACAATTTTTTTTTTTTTTTTGAGACGGAGTTTCGCTCTTGTTACCCAGGCTGGAGTGCAATGGCGCGATCTCGGCTCACCGCAACCTCCGCCTCCTGGGCTCAGGCAATTCTCCTGCCTCAGCCTCCTAAGTAGCTGGGATTACAGGCACGAGCCACCATGCCCAGCTAATTTTTTGTATTTTTAGTAGAGACGGGGTTTCACCATGTTGACCAGGATGGTCTCGATCTCTCGACCTCGTGATCCACCCGCCTCGGCCTCCCAAAGTGCTGGGATTACAGGCTTGAGCCACCGCGCCCGGCGACAATTTTATTTAAATCAATTTTGTTTCTGAGTTCAGATTCTGAGTGTGTAGTGTGACATGTTGTTATGCAATATATGGAACCATTCTCCACGTTTTATGTTTATATTGTTTTCAGCATTGTGGTGAACATTTTCCTCTGTGATTTTTATACTTTTAGAAAATCTAGCTTTCTATAAACCACATTTTAAAGAATCTTAAAAGATATTGCCGAACTGCCTTTCAGAAATGCAGTGATTTATGCAGCTATTAGCAGTTCCTAAGAATGGTAGAGTCATTGGTCCCTTGCTAGCCTTGCCTATTAAGTTTTTGAATTTACACATTTTTTTTTTTTATTTTTTTTTTTGAGACGGAGTTTCGCTCTTGTTACCCAGGCTGGAGTGCAATGGCGCGATCTCGGCTCACCACAACCTCCACCTCCTGGGTTCAGGCAATTCTCCTGCCTCAGCCTCCTGAGTAGCTGGGATTACAGGCACGTGCCACCATGCCCAGCTAATTTTTTGTATTTTTTTTTTGAGACGGAGTTTCGCCCTTGTTACCCAGGCTGGAGTGCAATGGCGCGATCTCGGCTCACCGCAACCTCCGCCTCCTGGGTTCAAGCAATTCTCCTGCCTCAGCCTCCGGAGTAGCTGGGATTACAGGCACGCGCCGCCATGCCCAGCTAATTTTTTGCACTTTTAGTAGAGACGGGGTTTCACCATGTTGACCAGGATGGTCTCTATCTCTTGACCTCGTGATCCACCCGCCTCGGCCTCCCAAAGTGCTGGGATTACAGGCTTGAGCCACCGCGCCCGGCGTTTTTTGTATTTTTTTTAGTAGAGACGGGGTTTCACCATGTTGACCAGGATGGTCTCGATCTCTCGACCTCGTGATCCACCAGCCTCGGCCTCCCAAAGTGCTGGGATTACAGGCTTGAGCCACCGTGTCCGGCGAATTTACACATTTTGATAGATGAAGAATAGTATCAATTTTGACATCTTAGATTATTAGTGAAGTTGGACACAGATTTATGTGAAGCAGTTGGTATTTCCTCTTGGGACACATCTGCTTGTGATTTTTGCCTTTTTTTTTCTGTTTTGAAATGGGGTCATGCTGTCTTGCCCAGGCTTGCCTTGAGCTCCTGGGCTCAAGCATTCCTCCTACCTCAGTCTCACAAGTAGCAGTGATTACAGGCATGTGCTGCTGAGCCCAGCTCAACATTTGCCTATTTTTCTACTGGTATCTTGCTGCCTTTGTTATCCTTACTCTTTCAGCTTGGTATGATGGTTCACGCCTATAATCCCAGCACTTTGAGAGGCCAAAGCAGGACGATTGCTTGAGCCCAGGAGTTCAGTACCAGCCTGGGCAACATAGTGAGACCTCGTCTCTATAAAAATTTTTTAAAAAATTATCCAGATATGATGATGCACACCTGTGGTCTCAGCTACTAAGGAGGCTGAGGCGGGAGGATCAATTGAGCCCCAGCTGTTGAAGCTGCAGTGAGCTCTGATCATGCCCTTATACTCCAGCCTGGATAAGAGAGCAAGACTCTGTCTCACAAAAAAAAAAAAAAAAAAAAATCACTCTTTCTCAGATTTTGTCTTTTAGTTTTGCTAAAGATATGCTGTTTGGGACTTGGGCTCCAAACAGGCTACTTGTAGAACAATGGGGCAAGAGGGAGTCAGGTTATTAGAGCATGTTTAAAATCTTGAAAACCAGGTGAGGCTGATGGAAAATCAAGACAGCTCAATGGGTTGGTGATCAGTGAAGCAGAGTAGTCACAGTAGAGTAGTCGAATAGTTATCTTGAAAAATAGGAGAGTGGGGTGTCTGAATTCCTAATTTCATAATTGGGTTAGTTTTTTTTTTTTTTTTTTTTTGAGACGGAGTTTCGCTCTTGTTACCCAGGCTGGAGTGCAATGGCGCGATCTCGGCTCACCGCAACCTCCGCCTCCTGGGTTCAGGCAATTCTCCTGCCTCAGCCTCCTGAGTAGCTGGGATTATAGGCACACGCCACCATGCCCAGCTAATTTTTTATATTTTTAGTAGAGACGGGGTTTCACCATGTTGACCAGGTTGGTCTCGATCTCTCAACCTCGTGATCCACCCGCCTCGGCCTCCCAAAGTGCTGGGATTACAGGCTTGAGCCACCGCGCCCGGCCAATTGGGTTAGTTTTGATAACAAGATAGAAAACTGAGGAAGTAGATGACCCAGGTGGAGTGGAGGAGGAGGTCTTAGAGACGGCATCAGTGAACTCAGAGGCAGGGTACTGCATGATTGTCTCTGTGATTGTTGAAGTTTCTTGGGATAAGGCAAGATGACTTGGAAAGCAAGACTTAATGAACAACAGAGAGAGAAAGTATAATATTAAAACTGGATGGCATGAATCTGAAGGTAACTCACTTTTTTTTTTTTTCTTTTTAAGAGACAGATTCTCTCTCTGTCACCCAGGCTGGAGTACAGTGGCATGATTGTAGCTTACTTCCAGCTCAAACTCCTGGGCTCAAGCAATCCTCCTGCCCCAGCCTCTCCAGTAGCTGGGACTCTAGGCATGTGCCACCACGCCTGGCTAATTGTTAAAATTTTTCTGTAGAGATGAGGACTTCTTATGTTGCCTGGACAAGTCTTGGACT